TACATTGATTATTATAAACCGTTTTACTCAGCCTTCCTATTTGAATGTTACCTCCACGTGGGTAACGTGAAGATGACCAGGTTTAGCCGTGAGGGTGTAATCGGTTACCAGGATTTGGATAACCAGTTACACTGAGTAATAATGGCGTAGCAGGGGCTGGTTACAGGGGTGTAACCGATTACCGCATATGGTTTAACCGGTTACACTTAGAAGAAATTTTTGTAAAACTTTGAAAAATTGTAACTTGAGTTCCGGATATTCAAAGCATGTATGTGGCTGAGTTGTGTAATGTTGTTGGAATTCAGAGTCGGAACCCGAGTTATGAACTAGTATGACAATTTTGGGGGTTTTGAAATGTGTTAGAAACTGATTTTTGTGTAAAAATATAGTAGAAAAGTGCTTCTGTAGCAGGTGTATCTAGTTACCACTGTGACAACTTACAAATGTGAAAACTAGATTTGGGGGAGGGTGTAACCGGTTACCGGTTTTGTGGTAATCAGTTACAATGAGAGGAAATTTTTTGAAAATTCATAACTTGAGTTTCGGGTGTCCGATTCAAGTGTCGTTTGAATCGTTAGAAAGCTAACGGAATGAACTTTATTTTAAAAATGGTTCCATTATGGAATTGAAATAATTACTATGTGGTGTGTGAAATGAATTGTAATGTTTATGTTATGGTGTGACATAATCGTATATGCATTCGTTGTTGCTTGTTATATTGTGTGTGGATGTTGTTGGACTGTTATAGCATGTTGTGTTGGTGCATGGTGGCCATTATTAGCGAAGTACATTGACTATGGAGGTTTTGGTCGTTTTACTTGATATTGTTGTTGTATGTATAATATGTTACATACATTCATGATGTCGAATTGTGAGATAACTCGTGTGTCCGGTGGGTGTGAGCGTCTCATCTGGATTCTAGTTGTAGAATCATGTTGTTGTTGAGGTGATCGTGTGCCCAGTGGGGTGTGACCGATCATGGGGTTCGTGTGCCTAATGGGGTGTGAGTGACGTAATAAAAATTTGACGGGAATTATGATTCTAAAATAGGAATCGGGTTCTGAAGAGAAACGAATGGTACCACATGCATTGATTCAATTTAAGAGTCTCATTGAATTGCATCTTTGTTGATTTTGTTGTTGTGTTTAAGTAGTGGTTGTATTGATTGTGTGGATGTATGTTGTGGAATGAGTGATTATGCATTTAATAATATGATGCTTGCTTATTATGATTATTTCTTTTATATGATTATGATATATCACGCCCCTTCTGTTTTAATGTTGTCTTTACATAGGCATCATGCAGATAACTCGCAGTAGAGGATTTTATGTGAGTGAAAAATAAATTCTTCCGTTATTTTTATAGATTCGCTGTTTGCTCTAATGTGTAACACCAGGGAATGGAACATTTTATGTCTTTTGTATTTGTTGGAGATTTTTGGATATCTCTTGAGTTATGGTTATTTATGTTTATTTTGAAAATATGATTATATTTTGAATAATTAGTTGATGTGTATTTTCCGTTGCTTTAATAAAGTTGGTTTTTAGACATGATTTATTATTATTATTATTATTGTTAGTAATTTTTAAAAGTATATGTGTTACATATGATGAAGTATGAGCATGTCTATGGTGAAAGTAACACCCTAAATGTTATATGTTTTGAAATACTCTGATATTTTATTTAAATTACGCGGGGGATTTAGGGTGTTATACAAAATGTGAAACACTTTGTGAGTAACATGTGAGTCTGTGTCCCTTTTCTTTATTGTCTTTGTTTCCTTTATTGAAATATTTTACTTTTTGGAATTAACTGCATTTATTTAATTCCCATTTATTGCAGTTCTCTTTCACTTTAATTAAAGCTTTTTCTTCGTTAAAGTTTGTCTTTACTCTGTCTGCGTACGGACATTCACAGTCACTTCACATACATATTTTATTGTACATGTGTTTGTACAAAATTGCTTCCAAGATTTTTCAAGTTAATCTCATAGACTTTTAAGATCTTGATTGTTCGCTAAAAACACCTGAGAACAAATTGGCACACCCAGTGAGACATTTTGTGCAATTTTTTTTGCTTTTGTTTTACAAGAAATTATTGTATTATTTAGACATTTTTGTTCTACATTAACTGTTTTTAATGTTCGGAGTCATACGCGTCTGAGAAGTGGTAGGACTTTATCATAAGTGATTAACCGTAAAAATACTTCTCGTGCCTGAAATGATGCTTCAGACCCGAAACCACAATCACTTTTACAGTTGGTACAAAAAGGACAACAAACCATGTCGGAGTCACAGGCCCAATCTTAACTCCAGTAGAGACTTCAACGTCAATACCATGAGTAGTAGTTTCTTTACCTCTAGTAACAAACATTTTAACTACACCCATGCCTACTTCAATATTTGTAAGGGGCCCTAGTCCCCCTCAGGCCCTAAGTTTTACTCTACCCTTATTTACTATGGATTATCCATATGGCAAGCCAACTGGCATGCTGGTAGAGTTACAAAGTTACGCTGCGGCGTTTGCAGATAATGCTGCAATGATAGCGTCACCCCTCAATCCACATTTGGCGTTAGGATCTTATATAAGAAACCTTGGTCAGATGACACAACCAGAAGGAGGAGTTTAATATATTCCTCCAGGAATGACAACTTTAACTACATACTCTCTAGTGTCCAATGTAAAATAGATGGATGAAAGTAAGCACGAGATGGTGAACATGTTAACATAACTAATAGGTATTGTGTTTCATCCTCTAATACAAAACACAACCCAAATTTACCGGCATATAATAACAAAATTCCTATTGCACAATCTCCACTGAAGGTAGTTGAAGGAAACCAAACCCATAATGGCCATGAAATAATTATGGTGAAGAGAGACCAGGATGTCGACCAATTACTTAAGAATGTCCAACAAAATAACTTTTGGGGGAAAATTATATAACTAATGTGATCGAACAGATCTTGGCCTAGAACAGTCTTAGCGTTGTCCTTCATTGGTGCAATTATGCGTCTTCTTTATCGGAATATGTTTTGCAGACTGAACTCCCCAGGGGATGAAAAGTCCTTAAACTCACCAAGATTTCTAGTGACACTAATGAGTCCATAGTCTAGCATGTGACAAAGTATCATAGTGTGGTCAACGATATAGCCAATAATGAAAATTTGAAAATGAAATATTTTCATAATTCTTTGACAAAGAACACTTTCACATGGCTCACCATATTACCTCCACATTCTATGTTTAATTGGAATCAACTAAAAAGGGCGTTCCATGAACAATTCTACATGGGCCAATCTAAGATTAGCATCAAGGAATTGGCCAGTGTGAGGTGAAATATGGTCGAAACCATAGATGATTAACTAAATAGGTTTAGGATAATTAAATTGAGGTGAATTACCCAGGTTTCCGAACATGAAGTAATCGAATTGGCTACAGGGGGTCTTTATTATTCCATCAGGAAAAGGTTAGACACCTAATATTTAAGAGATATAGCCTAATCAGCAGATAGAGTTTAACAGGTCGAACATCTAAAAGTTGAAAAGATGAGGTCGAGTTAGTATCATAAAAAGGAAAAAGTAACCTATATATGTCGAGATAGAGGAAATAGAAAACTTATCTGACACGTACTGTGACTTTGTGGAGGAGAATGAGGTTAAGCAACACAAAAGAACTTACAATAGTATTACCTAAAAGTTTTCAGATGTTACAAGCAATCCTCTTTTATTTCATTGTCGTCAAAGCACCTTAGTAGACCTTCATAATGTTCCGATCTCCATCAGACATGTAAGGTAAACCATTTTCTTGTAAACTACCTTGAGAAATAAATATCTAACTCAAACTCTGAAATACTTCTAACACCATTTAACATTCTCACATCACTATCATCTATAACAATTTCAATTTTTCTCATTTTAGCAATATCACATGATTTATCATCGACTAAATAGACTAACTCAAAACTAACTGAAGTGAATGCATGGATTCACTCTTGATGGATGTCATGTTGTAAGAACACCTAAAGTCAAGAATCCATGCTTTTCTCACTTAGATGAAACAAAAGTTGCATCTCCTTCGTACGTAAGAGTCATCAATTTGAACCACATTCGTAAAATTTGATGAGTCTAAAATTCTATTTGGAAAATTCATCTTTTAATGCCTATATATTTGTAACTATAACATTATGTTTTTTTTGTCTTTTTTGAATTTAAACCTCTTGTTTCTTTAACTTTGATTTACCTTTGTTTTGCCCATCATCATGGTTTCCTTTCGCATACACACATTTCCGTTGACTTCCTTTCTCTATATTTTCTCTTCTTTGAGAATGAGACAAAAGTGTAGCAAAGAGTATAGCAGTAACAAAATCGAGATTGATAGTGTATTTTTCATAGTTAAAAGTTGTCACAAAGTGGGGTTGTAAGAATTGGTGATGAACACACCAATATAATTTCATTGTCTTTTTCAACGACCTTCACCCTTAGCCTCACGAAGTGGTTATAATGTTAAAGATATTGACATGTTGTTGCAAATCAGAATCTTCCTACACCTTTTGACTATATAGTTATTGGGTCATAAACAATTTGTTCATCAACGCCTTATACTCATTTAATTTCCCAAAATATGACACATTTTCTCTTTCCCATAGCCATATTTCATATATACCTACATCTATAATTGTCATCACTAAAAAAGTCCATTGGTTTATGTCGATTTTCTTGCATGGCATAAAAACACATCATAACTGTTAACCTTTTGAAATACCATTACTCTCATAACATTTTGAAATACAACTTTCACTCGGATATAATTAAACTTCCAATTACAACAACATTATCCAAGTTGGTTTGAGTTCTTAACACAATATACAAACTAAACATATATGCTTCACAACACTATAAAACGAACCTATGATATGAACCAACTCAATTTGTTTTCCATATTGAATTACTTCTTCTTGGCCGAATCATTGAGTTAACCTGTCTCCGCGATCACTCTCTTCAGTCATCCACTTCCAAAGGTGAAGTAACTTTAGTAACGTGACGAGTGTCTCTCTTTTCTACCTCACCGTTGCTCTCGTCCAAATACTGCTGATACATATAAGATATAAAGCCCCAAACAGCTAGTACCATAGATATGGCCTTAATCCCATGCATTTTGTCTTGAAAGAAAACCACAGCTAATATAGGAACAATAGGCAAACCCAGAACACTTATAGCATTCGAAAATAGAGAAGAAATCTCAAAAATAAGTCCAACACTACCAATAGTAAAGACTTGCCATGTTATGGCTGTGAATGTAAGATCAAGAATATAAGAAGCTTTCCCCATCTGATACTCTTCCATTTCTTTCTTTATACCATTCCACTCTCCACTAGCAAAAAGTCCTACTAGAGGAACACAAGTAGCTACCAATGACTGATATATTATCATATCCATAACAGCTTTAAAACTCTCGCTCTTCACAACCTTCTTGAAAGCTAGTTGTGTAAGGGAAAGGACCAATCCATACCCTGCAGATGCAGCTAAAGTGCAGATGAATCCAATCACATACATTTTCTTCGAAACATTTGTGGAATTCGATGACTCGCTTTGGAACACAAGGAGGGAGGAAGAAATTGTTAGAAGGACTAAGGAGTTTATTATACAAGGTGTGAGCTTGAGTGAATTCAAGAAATAAGCAAATAAAGCATTGAAACCTAACTGTGATGAGCAAATAAGTGTAAAAGTAGAGACAGGTAGGTATAACAGCCCAAATGAAAATAAGTAACAAATTAATCCAACAAGTAGACCAATTGAGACATACACAAAAGCTAGCATGAAAACAGGTGGTTGATATGGAATTGGATCAATAATGTTATTATTTTTATTTTTGGTGAGTTTTTTGGTTGATGAGATGAAAAAATAATAAGGTAATAGAATTGGGAAACCAGCAAGCTGAACAACTGTTTCCATCCATTTACTCTTTCCTCCTTTTTCATAATACAATCTTCCAAGAAGTGTTGCAGCTGACTGCCCTACCAACACAAGTACAGCATAAATGACTATCTTGAAATAATATCTACTTTTTTTTCTCCTCATTACTTGATCTTCAAAGCTATTTTCCTCCAATGAAAATGTTTCTTTGGTTTCATTGGCATCTACAAAAATCATTCTTCAACTTAGATGATTACTATATGGTTCAAATGAATATAGTAACAATTTCATAGGTGTTTGTGTCTTTGAAACTAGAATTGAGTGACATACCTATTTGGTGAAGTTGCAGTTCTTGTGCTTCTGCCATATGTAGAAGTAAAATAGATAAATTATATTGGAAAGAGAGATAAGACAAAGGAAGTGTAGGGTTGTGTTACTGTATTTAAGAAGAAAAATGAACCTAAAGCAGAAACATCATAGTGGTCCACAAGAGTGTCACTCGTGACAGAACATATTAATCTGTTTTTATATCAGTATGGGCTCTAAGATTATTCCACAGTTAAGATTGTATGGATATTCTATTGAAACGTATGCATGTAATTCTATGAAATTTTAAAAATAGATTCAATTCAAATTTTCTATTTCATCTTTGATACATATATTTATGACATTTTTTTCTTATGCAGTGATATTGTCAACTACTAGTACTAAATGTTATGCTGGTCCAATTTTCTGAATCTCTATTCTATTATTAATTGCACATGGGAAAGCGTGCTAGAAAAATTAAAGAGGGGATGGAAATGACATGCGTCAAATAATTGAGTTTGTTTACCTCTCTTTTAAGGCATTCATGATTGATTAAGGGATGCCCCACTAGTTTAGTGAAAATCTAAAACATACTGATAAGAAGAATTCAAACATGTGTGGTGGAAGGCGGCAGTGGTCCTAGGGCAGTGGATCTGGTTTGGTCCGGACGATTTGTAGGTATTGGACTAGTTCATTTTGGTTTATGTTTGTCAATGAGTTGTGTTTAAGAAATGTTGGATTTCAGCGGATATTAATATGTATATTTATCATTTTTTTTTATTATAATCATTATTACAAAAAAAACACATTTCATAACAATTTATTATTGTGGTCATATAACAATTATAATATATGTTCAGTAGGCGTTTACATTTTTTTATTATTTTTAAATACCACGGTTGAAGTTGGACCATCCAACTAGAGAATCGTTGTGATATGTGAAGAATAATACACTTTAAATCCCAACATTTTCAATTTAAAAATTTTTTGTTAGAAAAAGGGTGATCTCACCTGATCAGAAAGAAATCGGTAGTCTGCCACGCGTCGTGAGCTCTTGTGCTCACCGGCGTTGTAGAGGAGGAGGGGGTGTACTTGCAAGGTACTCTGATGCTTAAGTGATCAATGGAGTTTAGAAAGAGCAAATACAGAGAGAATAGGTGTAGAAAATAAGATACCTGACCCTCTAGTGAAAGAGGGTATTTATAATGTGCCCCCACTGCATGGCCAACGGTTACATTGCATTGGACCAGATTGCTAAGCCCAACACAAGTAACTGCCAAGGCTTACGTGGCGTAGGAAAGACCAACACGTGGTCTTCGTCCTAAATCAATTGCCCCGCGATCTTCGGAAGGTGGGCTGACCGACTCTTTCAGAGGTGGGTAGATGTTTGATGACGTGTTCCCGCGTGAGGGGCACGTGGAGTCCGTGGAGAAAGCACGTGAGCTCTCCCCGTGCAAGACAATGATCTGCCCGACTGAGGTGTCTTGTGGAGGTGCGTTCCCGACAAGGGAGGATTGAGCCTTGTTGGGCCTCTTCATCGCGGTACTGGATTGGGCCTGGCCGACTGAGGCACAGGTCTCGGCCCAGTACAGAACATGATTCACCGGCGTTGTAGAGGAGGAGGGGGTGTACCTGCAAGGTACTCCGATGCTTAAGTGATCAATGGAGTTTAGAAAGAGCAAATACAGAGAGAATAGGTGTAGAGAATAAGATACCTGACCCTCTAGTGAAAGAGGGTATTTATAATGTGCCTCCAATGCATGGCCAACGGTTACATTGCATTGGACCAGATTGCTAAGCCCAACACAAGTAACTGCCAAGGCTTACGTGGCGTAGGAAAGACCAACACGTGGTCTTCGTCCTAAATCAATTGCCCCGCGATCTTTAGAAGGTGGGTTGACCGACTCTTTCAGAGGTGGGTAGATGTCTGATGACGTGTTCCCGCGTGAGGGGCACGTGGAGTCCGTGGAGAAAGCGCGTGAGCTCTCCCCGTGCAAGACAATGATCTTCCCGACTGAGGTGTCTTGTGGAGGTGCGTTTCCGACAAGGGAGGATTGAGCCTTGTTGGGCCTCTTCATCGCGGTACTGGGTTGGGCCTGGCCGACTGAGGCGCAGGTCTCGGCCCAGTACAGAACATGATTCCTCGAAGTCGTTGCTCCTAAGTGATGAAGTAATGACTTAAGAGCGAGTCAAGGTGTCGACGACCAATTCAAAAGATGGTGGCTTGCCTGACATTTTAAGTTGAGGGTCGTGTGCGCGGCTAGGAGCGACAAATGCTCGACGAGACAGTATGTTGGGGAGGTGGAAAGCGAACAGACATGCTTGATCTCCGAGCACGAGGGAAAAACGAATGGGTGCGAAGCGTCTGACGATGCCACGTGTCAGGGCAATTAATGCCTAGGGCGGCTAGGGGTAAGGGCACTCAAATTCCTATGGACGCCTCGAGTCCTGTGCTAGGTTTTTAAATAGGGGTAGAGTCCATTTAAGTCTCACGTTTCCCTTTTTCCATTCAAGACATTCTCTCTTCCCTTTTCGCGCTCCTCCCCTCTTTGCTCCAAGACGTTTTCCATCCGCCGCCATCTCGTCCTCCCAGAATCGGTGTACCAAGTAAGTCACAACCACTTTACTCTTATTTTTTCCATTTTTAAATGGTTTCTCCGATAGACTTGATAAAGGTCCCGAGGAAAATATGAAGTTTCTGACGAATACGCCAAAACATTTTTGAATTGGTACCGTTTTAGACGAACCCCCGGGGACCAGCGATGAAGCCCCCGAGGACGTAGGATGAGTGATTCAAGGACCTAGTGAAGGTCTCAGGGAGTTTGGATGAGGATTCTGGGGACATAAGATGAATGTCTCGAGGATCTGGGATAGGATCCCTGGGGACATTAGATGACGGTTTCGGGGACCCGATTCTCGCCTGTCGAGGTGGGGAGACTCTCCCCCTAGAGGTGCCCCTTTCTTCGCACTTTCACTTGATTTGCAGTGGAAGGGTGGATTTGATCTGGAGTGTCAAATTCACCGTTTTCCTCTGCTTTCAGGTAAAGATGGCTGCACGGATTCAGGGGGTCGTTGAGATTAATGACGGGCCTAATTCCTCGGTAGCGTATACCGGTAAGGAGAGAAAACGGATTGCCGCAGATTGGGCCAGGCAGGAGCCCCCGAGTATTTCTTCTCGCTTTGCTGTGCATGAATCTGACGCCTACGCCACGGTCGAGGACCGCTGTGAGGGTTCCCCCATGAATTGGAAGGTGTATAAACCCCAAGCAAACCATCAGATATGTTCGTCTTTTAAAGGGATGAGGTTCCGTATGTATGAATTTACCTTTCGAGAAGCGAGCTTGCGTCTGCCCTTAACTTATTTCCAACAGGGAGTGTAAGTATTGGCGCCCTTGCAGCTCCACCTCAACGCGACCGCGTTCGTGCGAGCGTACGAGATCGTATGTCGGTATCTCAACACCGGACCACACTTACTCTTTTCTTCCGCATCTTCCATCTTCAACGACAGAAGTTCGAGGGTCAGCACAAATGGGTGTCGTTGAAGCAGCTGAGGAGACTGTTTCGAGCGTATCTAGATTCCATCCCTACCTTCAAAGACCGGTACTATATTCTCAAGCCTATTACCCATGCGGACGTGGACTTACTGTTTGACCTCGTGGTCCGGGAGAAAGACGGGCAGTCGGAGGAGGTCTTAAAGCCAAAGTTCCCGTTGACATGGACGGAGGAGCATTTTGACAAAGGCACAGACAACTACATAGTAAGGTCGGGCTCGTTGGATGCTGATAACCAGGCGGCCTACCAGAAGCTGGTCGCATTTGTCTCCAATTTCACTCCCGCGAAGTGTGTGACGCCGGACGAGAACTTTATCCTCGACTCTCGCAGGGAGGTTCTTCGGAAATTGCGGTTTATTAACACGAAGGCCCTCCTCGAGTGTGCGTTCGAGGAGGAAGCCTTGCAGTTTTTAGGTAGTGGGTCCGCCTCTCGCTCGGGCTCTCTCTGTGTTTCCGTTATTGGTTTGTCGTTTGTTAATTTGTTTATTTTTTCTTTTGCAAGTGAAATGTCGAGCATGCAGGAATGTGTAAAGAAGTTGGCGGCCAACAAGGGCAGAAAGAAGGTTAGCAAGGGGCAAGTCGCCCAAGTACAACAAATATCCGGTCCCAATCACGGGCCTAGAGGCTCATCCTCTACCCCCAAGGCAACCAGTCGCCATCTTCGCAGGGGACGTCAAAAAGGCAGCGGGTCAGTGAGCCCGAGACCATCAACCTTACCGAGAGTAATGCCGAGGATAGATTCATGCTCTCGCCATGCTATATGCAGTCTGATTTCTTCTGCGGGGCCAATTTTCCGTTGTGAGTGCTGCTGAGTCCAAGGTCATCCTGGGCGTCGATCGGAAGGCAAGGAAGAAATCCTTATTGAAGGACCTAGCTGCGATGATGCGGGTCTTTGAAACAGCTCTGGTCCTCAACGACGAGACCTGCCCTTCAGCTGATCTAACAAGCTGTAGGATATCGTCATGACCGTCGAGGCTGAGAGGAACAAATTGGCGGCCGACCTCGACCAAGCCAAGGAAAGAAATGCTGCCTATCTCAAGCTCTATGGTGAAGTGGAGAATCAGGTGAAGGCTATTGGCGAGGAGAGGAAAAATCTCTTGACGAAGATCGCTGAGCTAGATGCGACTTCTCGGCCTACAGAGGATGAGACTTCCGAGGAAAAGGTCATGGTGTTTTGGGCCGATTTGGTGTCGAAGATACGGGAGCTCGGAAAGGACTGCCTAGGAGCTCTCAAGGTGGGGTTTAACTGCACTGTGGAGACTCCGGATTGTGAACCCGGACGTCTAGTTTGTCACTAAGGGTATAGATCTTTATCACCAGTGGTCAAGGGTCAAATGGTCACGCCAAATGCCAAAGAGGAAGATGACAACCAAGCCGTGGCGGGCGGTGAGCATGAGGAAAATGAAGTTTTTAGTGTTCTTTGTAGTATTTTTGTTTTTCTGGTCTGAGCACCATATTTGATGTATTTGTTCTTGCGTGCCATTTTTGATGTGTTTGTTTCTAGCCTGCG